AAAACATTTTTTTTTAATTATACAAATCAAGAAAAAACCATTTTTTCAGTTTTTCATTGAAACATTTTCTTTTCAATAATATATATTGTATTTTACCATTTGTACTCTAGCAAGTAATTGTACTCTAGTATTTACAAGAGTATTTTATATAATATAGCAAATATTTGTCAATAAATCACGACTATATGCACACAATCTCCCCCTAGACAATATGCAATAGTTTATGACATATGCAGTCCTAAAATAACATTTGAATTTCGTGTCGGGAATTATGAAAATGTTCTTTTCTTATTGTGTGCAACAGCAATAAGGTCAAGACTCGATGAAATCATTATCTTTCTCGAAAACACGGAAGAAGGATGAAGACAAAGAGAGAGAGAGAGAGAGAGAGAGAGAGAGAGAGAGAGAGAGTGAAAAAACTGTCATGGTATTCAACTAATAAGAGAAGTTTACACGATCATAATTACGTTGCAGAGAAGATTGCAATGACATCGTGCCGATTTCAGCGTTTGTATAACGTTATAATATACGGTGTGGTACGGGCATATCAAATAGGAAAAATAACAATACTGTACGATCTATCTTGGATCTATAGATATATCGCACAGGCAAGCGAATGCAAACTGAATGCGAGACGAAAAACCAAATCAGTTACAAAAACCAACCGAAAAAAAAGAAGATTGAGATTTGCGCGCGCGTTCTCATTTGAGATTACAATTATTGTAAGCGCTCGTTTCGTGACTCATGAACCGCATTGACTAAATGTATTTTCTGTTTCTAATTGCAAAACTAAAGAATGCGCATGCAATTTTTTTTCCCTTCATTTCGATAAAATTTAGTGCCATCACTTTTTACCATTGATATATTCCAATATAACATGGTTTCTTGCTTCTATCTTTTTCGCTCGCTCGTTCTGTTTAGTTATCTTCCAAGTAAATCTGACGAGAATATCGCGTTGGAATGTTTTCATTCAAGCAAAATTAACTTTTATCAAAATGTAATCAATTAATCAATCACAAAACAAATAACAAGAACTATCGCATCCACATTTTATATTATTATTTTGTTGTGTTTGGCCGCGAGCGTTATTTCGTCGAGAAATGTAATCTCATTCACTTCATGACTTCAACCGGCTGTTTATCTGTGGCCACAAAGATTATCATTCAAACATTCACATAACGGCTACAATCACATTTTTGTTGTTGTTGTTGTTACCATTGCTGTTACGATTCTTGCTAATTATTTTGTTGTTTCAACCATGGTTCTCTCTTGCATAATCGCAATCATTGTGTGACGTATCATTCAATGATCGATTCGACATGCAATTTCAACACCAATTAGCAATACACTCTTGGCTTTGAAACATTTTTACTATTTCAGAATGTTCAAAAAAAAAAAACAAAAGAAAGAAATCGTTTTTACTTTTCCGCCCACACGAAGTGTGAAGGGAAAAGTATTGTAATTGGGTCAGAATTTGAAAATTCTTAAAATGGTGGGAGATGACCTATTCTAAGTTGGGGATGATTTTTTTGGTTAGATTTGGATTCCTCGACACAAAATTGGAGACAATCATGGTCTGCTATGATTTAACGCGATTTTTCAACTAACTTTCAGCCTAGTTTTGTTTTTTTGACCATTAAACATGTTTTTTAATTGGACATGTTCTATCATGATCTAAAATCATTTAACACGGTTGGAAAGCGTTCGTAGTTTATCACAATATCTGACCAAAATCTTCCCGACTCCTATTAATTACACAACATTGAAGTAAGTAAACAATTAGACGGAAAAGTTCGTCTTACAGCGTGAGACTTTTTATTCTATTCGCAATTGTTCATTTATTCTCTTTGTATGTGTGTGTGTGCTTTTTATCCGAATCATCTCAATTTGCTACGATTCAACATAGCAAAATGTTCTTGCATATATATAAGGCTTTCATTTGGTTTTATAACATGCTGCACACACACTACAAGTCCGACGGAACGAACAAATGAAAGATTTTAATAGCAGATGATTCAAACCAATAAACATCAATTTATTTTATGATTCTCTCTCTCACTCGATTTCTTGCGTTGCAAATCAAATGGCATCATTCAGTAAGTCTTTATTACATTGTATGTAGAATTGCATATAGCCAAAATGCATCAAATTTTCATATACAACGAATTTTATTGCCTTAACGGACATTGTGTATGTGTTTGAGTAAGAGAGAGGGAGAGAGAGAAATTTCTTATCCGAACAATGTTTCGTGTTGTTCTTTTTTCTAAATTGATTAAAGAAAATATCTTTTCCGTGATTTTCATGGAATTCATTGACATTATAATTTTTTTCATACAGCAACCGTAATTTCCTTTTTGATACAGAAGATTTTTTCACAAATTTATTTTTAAAGTAATAAAGTTACCATTAAAGAAATAGAAAAAAATAAAAATAAATATTCAGTTAACAACTCACAACGACTCTTTATGTCTAAGCATAAGTTTTGGTAAAAAAAAAAATTGGAATGCAATATTTTTTGTCAGTTTAAAATAATGAAATGATTTTCATAATTTTCAATTTTTATATCGCCAAAAAACGGCGTATTACTCACTTGAATATGGACAACGTTGCGTTTGTTTCAGTTAATATCTATGTAAACATACAAGTTTCACAACTGTTAAGCTTTTGATTTTGGTTACATTATGTCCCTCTCACGGACAATAGGCGAAGTAAATTTAATCGAAATGTCATTTATGAGTTTTCTGTCGCACTGTGAAGGGATATTGTGACATATTCATACAAAACGAATCAACTAGATAGTTGCTACATATAGAAATCAATTGAAAATAAACGTAAAAACAACGTAAACAGAGTAAGCTAAAATTATTTCAAATCAAAATTTTGAAAAATGTTTCGATTTGTTAAGGAAAGGGGTGATGAAATAATAAGTATAAAGCGGCAAAAATTCTGTGTAGCAGTTGAAAATGAAAGTGTTGCACGTGAAATGTACGAAAGTGTTTTGCAAATACCGTCAACATCGACAGCACCGGTAAAATCACAAAACAATACCGAACATCGAAAATCCAGACGCATTACATTACCATTTAACAAAAATAAATTGTTTGCGGCTGTCGTGAGTAATGATGTGACGACAATTGAAGAAATGAACATAACCAATCGAAATGTAAATGTGACCGATCAATTCGGTTGGACGGCATTGATGATGGCCGTATGTGACGGACATTTGGACGCTGTAAAAGTGCTAATTAGACGTGGCGCCAACATTGATATTGAAAACAAACAAAACGACACCGCATTAAAATTGGCCGAAAAAAGAAAGCATCAGTTGATTATAGAATTTTTGAAACAAAAACAAACTGAAACAATTGAAACAATTTGCTTGAGCAGTGATGATGATCAAACAAGTTCGCAGAGATTTTTCTGTGATATTTGCCAAACGGAATTTTTGCAAATCGACCAAAAGTCGCACGAAGCCTCAACGTTACATCGCTTTAATCGAGAAAATTTATCGAAATCGGCACCTCATTTTGGAATTGCAGAGTCCAATGTCGGCTTTCGTATGTTAATGAAACAGGGATGGGATCGTGAAAGTGGACTCGGTGCGAAACGTGATGGCATAATTTATCCAATTAAAACAACACTACGAAAACCACGATCTGGTCTTGGTGTGCGACAACCGAACAAACCAAAAGTCACACATTTCAAACCATTTGATTGTGATGCCATTAAATCAGGCAAACCAATATCGATTAAACATGTTAAAACTAAAAGACAGCTACGAGCCGAACAATTGCGAACTCAGCGCAAAGATCGACAATTGAGAAAACTTTTGTCATGATTCTATTTCATCATCCTTTTATTATTGTTGAAAAGAAAAATCACCGCGCAATCGGTTTCAAATAGAATAATAAATTATTTAAATGAGACGATAAATGCAGAGAGATTGATTTGAATTATTATTTCTCTTCTGCACAGATACGAACTTAAATGGTTCAAGGCTGTAGAAAACTGATATAAAATGAATAAGGCAGGCGAAACAGTTTTGAAAATTCTCATCGATACCGAGCGTTTTGCCGATAAAGTACTTCAATATCGACTGGAAATTATCGAATTGGATAAACGTCGCCAGAGTACGCGTGAAGCAATACGTGATTTGGGTATTTTATTTTCATCATACTTTCATCACTTATTGACTAATTTTCATTATTTTATATGTGATTAACCATAGGTAAAAACGATGACAAAAATGTTTGGATTACCATCGGACCGATATTAGTCAAAATGGAAAAAGAAAAGGCATGCACTCTATTGAAAGAAGGTAAATAAAAAAGTGCAACATTTTTATCATTATCTAATGTTTTCATTTCATATGTTTATTTAAAAAAAAACACAGATCAAAAAACTATTGACGCTGAAATTAATAAATTACGCAGTGAACAAAAGGTATGGGTGGCCAAATTGCGTGAAGCCGAATGTCAAGCGCCATTGGTTGGGTTCGATCTTAAGGCATTAGATCGCAAAGAAGCTGCAGCATTTAAAGCAAATTTACCTGGTTTTTAAAGCAAAAGTTACCCATGTTTTCTTTATAAAAAAAAATTCCGCATAAAATGCTCAATAAAAAATAATAAAAATTTGATATAACGGCCAATATATTTTGTTTTGTTTTTTTTTTTATATATATATTTTGCATAAACTGTATAATGATGTCAAATAGAACTTCTGTTTCGTGCTGTATATATTTGTATGCATATAATTAAACAAACATTTTGTTTTGTTTCATGATATATGTAATCTGAAATGTTATTGAAGTTTGTTTTTGTGTAAGATTTTTTTTTTTTGTTTCACAATATTTATTTGGATAATTCAGCCAAAACTTCCTATAATTTTTTTTCTCTCAATCAACATGTTCATATATAATAATTATTATATTCATATTTACAGTGAGTTTGAAGAAAAATGAGAAACAACAATCAAACAATGTTGTCATGTCCTGTTTTTAATGCTTAAATGTAATCGAATTTTTAAAAACAATCTCCATATAAAGATCCAATGAATTTGAACTATGTACTATTTGATTTGCTTTGTAATATGCGATGATTGGATGTAATACCTAGTGTATACATTTGGGGCTTGGCTATTTTTTGTTCATCTCTGAATTTTTGTTCCAATGCCATAATTAGAATTTTTTATATATCAAATTTAGACATTTTAAAGCTGTTCTATAATCTACATCCAAACATTTTAAATCATGAGATTGTAAAAAAATATCTCAGAAATGATCAAAAATGGCCAAGCCATTTTCTCTTCTTACTATTCGCTGCTTTTTAACAGTTGTATTGAATCTCGACGATTATTTCGTGTGCAATATATTTAATCGTAATAAATTTATGATTATTTGGAGAAACAAAATGTTGGAAATTAAAAAAAAAAAAGATTTGGCTTCTACGAGTATCACTTGCGTTGTATATTGACAATGTATTTGAACGCGACTCGATTTAAGAAGCGCCATCTCTTTCACGCCAGGTTCTAATATATTTTTTTCTTACAAAAAAAATTGCAAAATTGTATAAATTGAATAAGTTTTGCAATAATAATAGCGAAAATAATTAATAGAATTTATAATAAATAAAAAAAATTGAAAAAAACACACAAATATTTTATATTATATGATATGTAGCTTTGCCTTGTAGACTTTGCCTTGTAGAATATGTAGAGATGGTTACGTGGAGAAAATATGTATTTGTCAAACATTGATATCTGTCAAAAGAAATAACGTAAACAACACGAAGTGAAGCTATTCTGGTGAATCATATAATATAAAATATTTGTGTGTTTTTTCAATTTTTTTTATTTATTATAAATTCTATTAATTATTTTCGTTATTATTATTGCAAAACTTATTCAATTTATACAATTTTGCAAGAAAAAAATATTTGCAAGAAAAAAATATATGAGAACCTGGCGTGAAAGAGATGGCGCTTCTTAAATCGAGTCGCGTTGAAAGCCGACTGTAAGTGATACTCGGGCTTCTAAGTTAATTTCGTATGACTTTAGTCAAAGAAAACTTTGTTTTTTATTAGCAACTTTTTTATTTTTTTAACGTTTTCAAAATCTCAGACTTTTTTTTAAATTCTGATTAACATAATCAATTCGCTGAATATTTGTATTCATTTAAATTAAAATGCAAAAAATGTTATTGGTATTTAAAAGCCGAGCATTTACAAGTTTTAGAATAATTTTATTTAATATTGCATTTCACGCACAAAATTAAGTCCAATAATTTGTCTCTGTTATTTGGAAAGGATAAGTAAGTATAATTTTTCAAAATTCAACGAATAACACCCAAACTTAAAGACAAAAGGAGAGAATCGATAATCAACAAGATTAAAAATAGAAAAACAATACCAAAAATTAATTGAGAGAAAAATAGCACAGTTTTACATTGAAAATGTTTACGATTACATTTTAGTTCCTGAATTTTTCTAATAATTTGTTATTTAGAATTCAGAATTTGTATCAATTTTTCACGTACTAGACTGTAGCGATTGGCTTTCTTGTTCCTTAAATTAATTACTGAGTGAACATTTTTTTTTTTAATGTTTCATATAATGATTGCTTTCATTTACTTTGCTTATACTTGACTGATTTGTATGTTATTGTTTGTTGTAGCGATGGTGGCCGGTTTGCTCATAGATGACAAATCAGAATTTGTATCCGGTATATTGTTGTCAATGACGACATAATCACCATTCGCACTGGTCGGTGATGGTTTACTACCTAGAGAACATAAAAAATTTAATTATATAGGTGTTTTGAATGTTTTGAATAATTTATAAGACATCCTACTAGGAAACTACAAAGTGAATTTATATATAATTAAAGAATAAAGCCATGACCACAAATAAATAGTTGTAATCGATTTTGTGGAAGAAAAAAAAAATCTCTAGTCAAAAATACTATTTGGGTTCGATGAGTGCATTAGTCGATGACGTATTTACAGTATCGCAATTGCTATACAGAGTGAACATAAATATACACAACGGTCCGCACCAATGAGCGCTAATATCGTAGATTTTTCTTTATCGATTCCACCAATACGACATCTACTAAAAAACTCGCCGATTTCTGTTACTAGTGGTGTTTTAATACAGCTCGTGTAGACCTACAAAGGAATACACTAACTCCGATTCTGTGTATGCGTATACGCATATATGTATTACAAATTCTGCACTCAGTCGTCAATCGGATACACAGTATCAGAGTCTGTGTGTTCTTTTGTATTAGGTCGTCTATAATACAGCCATAGCCGTATAGTTCGCTCGAGCTGTGTCAAAGCAACAGTAGTAACAAAAATCGGTATCTTTTTTTACAGATGTCGTATTAGTAGAATCGATAAAATTAATTTGTATGGGGAATATACGATACTAGTACCCATCGGTCCGCACTGAATCTCACTTGAGTTTTATTATGTGGTAGGTGCGCAGCTTGACAATGGCTGATAATTTGCGTACACGGTACAGTGTACCACATCCCCACATTAACATGGACAAAGCCGTTACTCTGTGATTCTTTAGATCCAAAACGCGTAAAAACTATTATTAACCATTTCAAATTGTTGGGGTGATTACAATACTTTACTGTGGTCAAACCCTACTTACATACTTATGAGAGGAATTAAATTTAAATAAAATATAGGAGGTATACTACCTTCTTCACTGATCACTGGATTACCTGAGGAGAGAATCACAAAAGAAAAGAACGAATAATTAAAAAATAATTAATGAATAATCGAAAATCGCAATTTGTTTGCTTTCACGACTTTAGTTTCTTTTGTGACCATACAAAGCTATATAGATTCTTACATTCGAATGGTTTTCAATCATCTCTCAATTACTCACCCAGACACACACACTCTCTATTTCTCTCTTTTTTTTTATCTTACATACATTCTGTTTCCATCATCGTCATTTGAAAATCCCATACGTAATACATATATTACAATTAATGTATGAATGTGAATGACGATAATCGAAACTAATCGTAAAACAATGAATAATAATTAATAAGTAATTTATTTAAGATTACCATTTGCAAATGTCGACAATGGCACCATATCAATGCTATTTATTGGCCCATTCGATGTTATTTCAACACTGCTACTTTTCCGTTTTATCTGCAGTGATGGGCTTGCTTTTTCCAGGTACATTGAAGCATCTGATATATCAACACTAGCCGTCTGTAGTGCAACAGTCGAGCCTCGTTTATCTTTTTTCATTATATTTCCATTTTTCGACTGTGTCTTAGTAGTGCCACTGACACCGCCGCTCGTAATTAAAGCACCTGCACTGCCAGTCACTGCACCAGCCGTTGCACTAACTCCATCCTGCCAAAATCATAAAACAATATTTTATAACATATGAATTGAACAATCAAGTTAAATATCTTATCCGCGACTCAAAAAAGGAAATCTTTACAAAAAATTATGAAGAAGCTGATAACGCAAAAGATAAATGGAATCTAATTCATAAATTCGGCGTCACTAGTAAAGCACGGAAAAATGAAGCAAAAAACGTTATTTTTAATGGTGATTTTTCCCTTGATAAACTTAATGAACACTTTACTACAATAAATTAAAGCCACTCCCAAAATTTGATTTGAAATAAAACAAAGAAATCAAAAAAATTAATTTTCACCCAATTTCATCAGAAAACGTTTATAACGCAATTCACAAAATTAAAAGCAATGCCACTGGTCCGGACGGAATCCCACCAAAGTGTTTTAAATATCTAGCTAACTATATTTCTGAACCTATCTCAATAATTATCAATTCCTCTTTCTCATCTGGATAATTTCCAAACAAATTGAAAAATATTTCCGTAACACCAGTACCCAAAATAGACAATCCATCATTATTGACACATTTTCGGCCTATAAGTAATGATAATTTTCTTTTAAAAGTTTTTTCTTCAATTAGCTGTAAACAATTCAATGAATACATTGAAACAAATAAATTGATATCTGAACATCAATCGGGTTTCCGGAAGGGTCATAGTTGTACAACAGCAATTTTACAACTCACTGAATATTTTCACAAATCAATTTCCAGTGGAAAATGTGTTATACTTGTTCTTTTGGATTTTACGAATGCATT